TTCATGGTCACCTCACAACCAAATCATGAATCCTAGAGTGAGCACCAAGGTAAGGAAGGGATAGAGGGCGTAACAGCCAAACAGACAATGGGACTAGAACTAGTAGCCAAAGTCAGTTGGAAGCTACTCATGTGGACATCTGACAGCTGAGGCTGTAGCCCCTGTGGAAAATGCCATACTATTGTCCCAGTTCAATAGAGAACGGGCCAGCACAGATTTCTGCTTGCCTGAAGATCCTGCTTGCTAGGTGGGGCTGGGCTGTAGCTTTTCTTACATTCCTTTCACCTCCAGATTAACTACTGCCTTCATTAAAATTTGGTCATTTATACAATACTTTCATTCCCAGTCCTTTAAAGTAGAGCAGTGGTTCTCAACCTCCCTAATGCCGTGACCCTTTAATACAGTTCCTCATGTTGTGGTGACCCCCAACCATTAAATTATTTTCGTTGCTACTTCATAACTGTAATTTTGCTACTGTTATGAATCGTAATGTAAATATCTGATATGCAGGATGTATTTTCATTGTTCCAAATTGAACATAATTAAAGCATAGTGATTAATCACAAAAACAATATGTGATTATATATGTGTTTTCTGATGGTGTTAGGCGACCCCTGTGAAAGAGTCGTTTGACCCCCAAAGGCGTCGCGACCCACAGGTTGAGAACCCCTGAAATAGAGAGAGCAGCCATTGTTCATTTGGGGGTTTTCTGACGTCGCGACTCACAGGTTGAGAACCCCTGAAGTAGAGAGAGCAGCCATTGTTCATTTGGGGGTTTTCTGACGTGAAGATACATGGTAGATTTAGTCATCAGTGATAGTTTTTGGAGAGAAAAAAAACCCCTCCACATTAGGGCTGATCAAAATGTTATCCCTTCTCCACAACCCCTTCCATTTTAACGAAAATCTCTACAAGTAATTTTAAATAAGCAAGTAAATATTAGTGGCATCACTGTTGAAACTAAGAATTTTCTCATGGGATGTGCCGAACTTCTTCCATGGTGTGAAACCTCCTGAGGGAGATAGGACTTTCCTGAGATGCCTGGAGAAAAGTCGCTAAAAAGTTCCTGCTTATAGTGGGCCATGGAAATGGTTAAAAAAAAACCCTCCTTGTAGTAACTAATCTTTGGTTTAACAATATAAATACAGTGTGGAATAAACCTATCAATATATTTGCTGCCTTTGAAAACAAAAACGGTATGCTTAATTACATTAGTGCAAAGGAAGAGAAAAATTGTTATTTTAGTATTTGATGAAATTTTATCACGCCTGACAGGTTAGATGTAACAAAGCTACAGACCTACAAATCACAAGTAATTATATAGGGCATAAAGTTCTTGAACAATTTGAAAATTAATATTATTAATAAATAAACTTATTCATCAGGTGGTTGGGTACATCTAAGCATTTCAACTGAAATTCAAGAGAGTAAGCCACGAATCCTCTGGACTTGAGTCTTATTTGTTTTAGGCAGTGACTCTGACGTTTATAGCATTAGAATCTAGGGCACTGGTAGGGTTAGTACGGATGAAAAATGGGCTGCTATTTCATAAGGTTTCCTTGGTTACTCCTTAAACTGTTCAGAGAAACCACTTCTTCAGGTAAAGAAAATGAATACAGTTGCTATACTGTAAGGACACAAAAATAAAGTTATTATATTTCTATATAAAAAGCCTTCTCCTACATAATTTTGGAGAGGTTAAATACTACCTGTAAAAAAATTCCTATTTAAAAATTGTTACAACTGAAACCCCTAAATGAGAATATTTCTAATGATTTACTTTTGGGTAAAATTCATTAAATCTAATACCTAACTTCATAGAACTTTCATGTTTAATCTAAGCAATGTAAAAAAATTACCATGCCCTAGCTGGTTTAGTTTAGTGGATAGAGCATCAGCCTGAGGACTGAAGGATCCTGGGTTTGATTCTGGTCAAAGGTACGTACCTCAGTTGCAGGATCCTCAGGGCTCATGCAGGAGGCAACCAATTGATGTGTATCTCTCACATCAATATTCCTCTCTGTCTTTCCCCCTCTCTTCCACTCTCTCTTAAAAATCAATGGAAAAATATCCTTGGGTGAGGATTAAAAAACAAAAACAAAAAACAACACCTTAATTTTTATAAATTGAGAGATAATTCCAAAACAAATATATAAAAACAAGTTACTGAAAAAGGTACAAAACTTGCATTTTGCCCTATTATGGAATACTATGTTTTGAAATCAGTATGTCAACTGTGACTTGCAGTATAAGCTGAACTGATATTTTTCATAGTTCATTATGGGTGTGATTTACATAAGGAGACTAGAAAATCTTCAAAAAGGGAATGAACACGATAAAAGCCTCAGGTTTTAAAATTACAGTTGAATTTTTTTCAAATAGCAATTAACATATCAATTACATAGAACAGAACATATCTACAAAATATTCTAAAGCACAAGAGAGAGGTCATATTTTTATTTCAAGATAATGTATTCAGGATAATACAGGTCAAGTTTAAAAATGAGATTGTTTCTACATTTAAAAGGAGACTGAGTCTATAACTGTAAACTATATCACTTAGTCACAAAGGCCATATAATTCAACAAAACATTTTACATACAGAAATTCTAAAATATATTGAAGTTATTTTCACAATTGCCTGCTTTGTTTCCCATTTATTTTTTAAAAAGTAATACAATGATACCATTATAATTATTTAATAGGAAAGGAGTTAAGGGAAGACTAGATAATATAGGCATGCAGTCTATACAGCTTTGCTAGAGAGCTGTCATTTAACCCTCTCCAAGCCTGTTCCCAATGACCAATGGGGGGAGGGACTGAACAAAGGCAGTTTGGATGCATGCCCAGCGGGGTCTGGGAGGTCTGGGTGACATGGGAAGGTGCTGAGCTGTCAGTCACACCTGGAAGCGAGTCAGTGGCCCTAACAGGCATGGCCACAGCAAAGGCGTGAGACCTGAAAGCTAAACTCCTAGACAAGGGGCGTTTCCTCGCGTGGCTCCCTTGCCTGCTGTTTGTGCCTGACCCCTGTGCAGAGGGCCATGTCCCTGCACTCGCCCACGTGGTCCACGGCCATGTGGGCTCCCCATGGACTAACGACTCTAACCAGCCTGATGCTCTGCCGGAACCAGCTGCAACAGGGTCATTCTGGACGCTGGCTTTGCTTCTGGCTCTACTGGGACCCCAGCGGCACCTTTCTCAGGACTGGCTTAAGGACATGGGAACTGTGGAGCCCAAGGAAGATAACTCCCTGCAAATAGAGCTTTTTTCCGCATCTCGTTCTTCTGTGGGGGCTCCTGACAATGCTTATTGCAGAAGTACCCCAAGAACCCCACTCCCACGCGTGACAGGGCAATCTGGCCCACTAATTTCCCTGTAACACCAGGTACTTTATGGAATGACTGCAAAGTACACAACAGAGGAAAAGGGCTATGGGTATAAATATGAAAAAAAATTCTATTAGTGTTCCCTGTTACAGAGAAACATTATTTTAAAAGTGCTCATATTTTTACTGCAATTGTAGCAGAATATATTTAAGTATTAGACGAACCACTTAGTTGAAAAATTTTGCAGGATAACAAATGAAATATTTTAATAATTTTAGATCATTAGAATGCTCTATAGGCCAATACACAGATGACATACATCCTAATATATATGCCTAAGGTAACTCTGGGTACATGTAAATATTCAGATTCTGGTTACTAAGAAGTTCTTATATTTGATATAACAACTAAAATACAAGGAAGACAAAGATAAGGAAGAGAAAGACAGATTTTTACTAGAATTCTATTTAAACCAGACACTTTAAAGTTGTGAGTGTGTGTATGTGTGTAAACGGGGGCGTCAACTATTTTTTAAGTACTTTAGGTAAAGACATAAGTAGAAACTAGGTTTCATCTCAAAGGAAAAAAAAACACATAGGTAGCATTGCTGTGCTTTCATTTAAAATTTCTCTTAAAAGGCTAGGTTTGCTAAAAAGCTTCCTAAAAATATGCACGTGTTTTTACTCTTAATTTGATATTCAACCAGAAAAATTAAAAAACTATTAATCCAAAGTATATTTTCAAAATTTCTACAAGAAATTACATTACATCAAACCAAACTACAACTTCAGGAAGATCAAATTTAGGAGACCATGTAGTGTGAAAATGTCCTCTTCCTCTTATCTGCCCAACACAGTCTCTATCTCAATAGCAATATACTCAGTCTTATAATTGACTTATTTCGGTACACTTAAGGGTTTCATAACCTGCCATGTTAGTTCAATTTTACATAAAATCGCAATACTGACATTGGTCACAGTAGTGGATGTCGAGACTCCCACTGTACTGGAAGAATGGTTTGCTGTTTATAAAATATAACAATGCTTAAGAAACAAACCAAAAAAACCCCATGAACCCCCTTAGAAAACAACACAATTCTCAAGTGAAAGAAAGAGAAAGAAAGAAAGAAAGAGAGAGAGAGAGAGAGAGAGAGAGAGAGAGAAGGAAAGAAAGAAAGAAAGAAAGAAAGGAAGGAAGGAAGGAAGGAAGGAAGGAAGGAAGGAAGGAAGAAAGCAAGCAAGCTTATGAATAAATCAAATCAAAAATACTGGGAGTTTAATATTAAAAAATCTCCTAATTTAAATGCAATTTGTTAAAAGTATTTCACATTCTTTAGAAAATATGGTTTTTAAATAAGGCCTTCTGTTTTTATCCAAAACTTTATCATAACTTTTAAATTATGTGTAAAAAATGTATATTTTAAATTTTATAGTGTTTTTTTTAAGCTATAGGTTTTACAACTAAAGAGAATACATACTTAAGGTCTTTTTTCTTTAACTGCTTAAAAACACACACAGTTCAGGCTATTCACCTAAAACTTTGCCCTAAATCCAAATAATTCATTCCAGCAGCAGGTGAATCACTCATTCTGAGAGGTTTCCTCAAATGTCACATTCTCCTTGAACCTTCCTGGACATTCCAGCAGATATTAGTTGTTCTTTTCTGTGTATTGCATTCCTATATCCTTTTGAGTTTCTCTCTCTCATAATCCCCACGGTATGCCTCGTGGTTCATTTTTTAAGGTCTCGTTCCTCCGCTAAACTCTATTCTCTCATGGATGGAAATTGAATGACAGCCATCTCTGCATCTCAGCAGATGACACACAGTAGGCACTCAATGTCTGTTGAACAAATGGAGAAAGGGGAGAACAGAGCATAAAGGTAAACTCGGGGCGCCCAACTGCTATTTGGATTTGTTTCCCAAAGTTTACTTTAAAGTAAAAATGTTTACTGTTAACCATTAATAGATACACATGAAAATTAGTCTGCTTTTAATACCCACAGAGAAATAATACATTTGGAGCAAAAGCCTTCTGAAAATGATTAAAAGAAATAGAAATATGTATGAAAAGGAGGAAATATTTAGTTTTGTTTTATTTTTGTTGTTGTTTTTTTGGGGGGGAGGGGGGTTTGGTCAAAATGTCCCTTAGTCACTGAATCCTATTAAAGAGCTTAAAAGTAGTTAAAATTTCACATATTAAACCAAGCAGATTTGGTTAGAGGGGAAAAAAGGCTTTCAGAGATTACAAAAATGAGTTAACAGTGCAAATACTAGGTTGCTAGTTTCACGAAATCTTACCATGTGCTTTTTTTTCTTCCTTAAAAGGAACATTTAAAACACTCTCCAGTTTTAACGCAAACAAAAGATAAATATTTATGAAGGAAAACAGATTCCACAGCATTCCATACAGATTTCCAAACAGTCTGATGATTCACAACAGGCGTCCATGATGCCACAGTCCATGTCACAAGGGCAGTTGCAGTCATCCCCCATTTCATCTCCGCAGCAACAGCAGCAGGCTTCTGAGGTACAGATGCCACAGGAAGCTTGTCCCAGGACGATGTTGCAGAGGGTCAGGAATTCACAGAACAAGCAGGCGAGGATGCAGTGGACACAGCAATCTTCATTTTCAATCGGGAAGAGACCGCAGAGTGGGGAAAAAGGAGGAACACAAAATACAGAAATCATCAAGAGGCTGAATAATAAGTTGGTCAAAATAAGTAATCCAGAACCCAATGATATGTTTTCCTAGAAGTCTTTCGTAGGCTGAAAGCTCAAAAATAAACCTAAGTTAAATTCTAGATGAACGATCTTTAGAACTAAGACTCCATATGAGAAAAAAAAAAGGTTGTAGCTGTGTATGCACGAGTGGATGTGGGTGAGATTATTACTGTCACACACTATGCAACAACCCTTGGTACTAGGTTCCCCCTTCTGTATATCCATCTTCCCTGTACCCTACTGCTCTCTATAACATTGGCTAAAATGATTCCATGACACTGAAGTCTTTCAGAAATAAAAAATTCCTTCAACTGCTCCACAGACCTGCTCCAAAAATTGAGAGAAAAAAAGACATATTCAGTATATTATTGAATAATGGAATCATTAGTTAAATTGGAATCTATTAAACTGGGATCAGCATGTTTTACTTGCCAATAAAACTGACTCAATTTCATGGTATCAAATATTTTTAGTTTCACAAGAACTAAAGAAAAACAGACTTCTCTTTAGGTTCAACTGTTGTTCCTGGAATCCAAGTTCTTCTGCCCATTTCTAACAAAGGATTTGTCCCTTAACAAATGTGAATGACGACACAGGAACACCGCTTTCCCACCGCCAGTGTGGCAAAGTCTTTGCATTTCTATTATTGCCTGAGACATCTCTAATGATCCCTCTTTAAAACAATCTTTAGCAAACTTCACCAACTGACATAAAAAGGCCAGAAATCAAAGAGATCATAATCTAGAGATTTAGTACCCCATATTCTAAACTTCTTTCCTTTAGAAGAGTGATTTTCAAGCTTTTTCATGTCATAGCTTACATAAACTAATGACTAAAATTCTGCCGCACACCAACAAATATATTCTTTTACTGATCTGATAAAAAAAAATAGGTATGACTTTGATTCATTCACACTGGACAGCTATTGTTGTGTTGGTTGTTGTCATTTTTTTTTTTTTTACAACCTAAGGGAAGAAAGGTCAGTGCCTCTGACTAGCCAGGTATTGCATGTTTTAAAAATCCCTGCAGTGCCCTGGTTGAAAATCACTGCGTTAGAATTTTGTGGCAAGTGAGAGGAGCAGCTGAAGAAATTTCTATTTCTGGGGGACTTTAACATGCGTCATCAAATTATTTAAGACCAATGTTATAGGACCTTTTTCCAATTTCAGAAATACTTGTGCATTTTTACCAGGACTATTTCTGGGTTTGTGTGTTGTTGTCGGTTGGTATTTTGTTTCGCTTTTTCTGTATTTTATACAATGAGAGCTTGAGGAGGGGATTCTGCTTCCAGCAGCAGCAGCAATGTGGAGCCGCCCCACCCCATCCCAGTCACACCCATTGTGTTTCAGTAGTGGCTTGAAAACTGAGCGCTTCTGAAGGAGTTTCATGAAATTGCGTGACCATCCCATAATAAGCTCCCCAACTCCTTGAATATGCCCGTTCCTCTATAGTCTCTCACTTCATAAAGATTCTCTAACTTTGTAAAAAAGTAGGGAATGTGCAAACACAAGGTCATATTCTAAATGCCAGGTGGCAAAGTAGGGAGGGTCCGAAAAGAATTCAAAAGAGAAACTCCAGAGCTGTTTGTAGAATTTAAGGCTTCAAAGAACGCCACAACCTTTCCTTTCATTCCTGGGCCCACTCTGACATACAATGGTCTGTAGAACAACTGGAAAAAGATCACAGAGTTGTGAGGGTGTGCAAGTTTCTCTCCATCTTCCCTAATATTTTAGTAGTAGCCGATCCTATCAGGAGAACGTGGAGAGCACCCACATGAATCCACATTCATAACCTTGGAAAGTACTGGGTTTCTACAGCGTGTCTGTGGTTTATCTCTTTATAAACTTTTATCCTAATATCTAAAGTTATATGTCTCTGTACATTTGAGCTTTTATAGGAATCATATTATTATCATTTGTAAAATATTCAAAATGTTATAAAGAGCTAGCTTTATTATCATTATTATTATTATGAAAATAGTGTTGAACTGGCAGTAAGCCACACTTGTGATCTTAACTTTCTTTTCCTCTGCTGGATGCTGTATTTCAAGACTGAAAGAAAGAAGCTACAAAAACTCGCTTGAGCCCTGACTGGTTTGGCTCAGTGGATAGAGTGTCGGCCTGCAGACTGAAGGGTCCCAGGTTCGATTCCGGTCAAGGGCATGTACCTTGGTTGCGGGCACATCCCCAGTAGGAAGTGTGCAGGAGGCAGCTGATCAATGTTTCTCTCTCATTGATGGTTCTAACTCTCTATCCCTCTCCCTTCCTCTCTGTAAAAAATCAATAAAATATATTTTAAAAAACTCACTTGACACTGAAGAACCTTTAACTGAGTAATTTTAAAACAACACCATAGAATTCCTGTGAAGAGCATTTTTGTTCAAAAGTATGTGTTTCAGATTTACCCTTGTTGATTAATGTAGCTACAGTCCACCTATTTTCCAGGTGTATAGTATTCCATTGTTCTAATGTACCATCATTTATTTATCCATCATACTATTTATGAATATTTGGTCATTGCCAGTGTTTTGGTATTCTAAACATGACTGTTTGAAACAATTCTGTGCAAGTCTCTTAGAGCACAAATGCTAAATAAGTAGCAGAATAATGGCTGGGTCATAGGGTGTGCATATGTTTAATCTTATTAGGTAATTCAACATTTGTTTCCAAATGACTGCTCCAAAATGTATTCCCACCCATCAAGTATGAAAATGCTCACGGTTCCATCTCCTCGCCAATCTTTGACACGGGCATAATCTCATACATGCCGAGTAGTTGAGTAGGAACGGGTGTCCCACTGTGGTTTTACTTATTTACTAAGTTTGGACACCTTTTCATGTTTCCGTGCCATTCGTGTTTCCTCTTCTTTGAAACGGCTGTTCAGCGTGTTCATGCTTTCCACTCACTTTTCTATTGATTTGCCTCTTTTTTTTTTCCGTATTGATTTGTAAAGTTTTTAATATTCAAGATATCAGGCCTTTGTCAAATATGATTGTCCTTTCTCAATATGTGGCTTTTTCAGTTAGAATGACAAGAGACAGATGAGTTAATTTTTAGACTGTGAGAAATTGAAGTTATCAAGAGAAATCCAAATTGTTCTGTAATTAGCTGGAGATATGGGGCTGGATGGCTGAGGAAGTGAAGGGGCAGATGGGCAAGTCTGGCAAATTAGTGAGAAGAAGAGGAGGCATTACTAAGATTTGGGAGCATAAATAAAAAAAAGTTTTTGTGTCTGATTCAAAACAAGGGAGTCCAGCCACGCCTATATGCAGAAAGGGAGAAGACACCAGTGAGTAATCAGGAGGAACAGACGGAGTGTTATTGGTGTGAAATCAACAGTCTCGGATGAAGAGAGGTGGTATTGGCATTCCAAACTAAACAACTCATTCCATTCATAGGATATATTACTTTGAAAACTAAAATGTCTTCATTTATAACTGATGTCCCCCCCCAGGAAGATTAAGTGAGTATTAGGAGTGACCCATTATTGTCTAAATTGTAGACAATAATGACAGTTGTCAAACAGAAATCAGAAGTCCTAAGCCAAGAATAAAATCTCTCCAAACTCCTACATTTAGCCAACAAGATCTACAAGTTAATTTAGTCTGTTACTGTCTTTGTATTTTTAGTAAACAAAGAAAAATTTTAAAAAGTTCTTAGCTCTAAATAGATCAAACACTCCTTTTCTAGCCTGTCTTCTATAACACATGATTCCTATAACTAATAGATTTGAGTGGTGGTTTTACATACACGGGAAGCCTAGCATTAATGAAGAAAAAGTATTTATTGGCTGTTGTCAGAATTAAAATAGGTGTTATCTTGGGACAGTGATGTTTTCATCACTCTTTCATAAAAAAAAAAAAAAACACAAAACTATTTAAAAAACTTACTTTATACTGAACTCTGTTTTAAGGACTTTATAAATATTAATTCATTCAATTCTAATAATATTTCTAAGAAGCAGTTTCCCCATTTTAGCAATACAGAGAAAGATTTATAGGAAATTTATGAAATTTATCCAAGTCATAAAGGCAATAAGTAGCAGCTGCCTCTCGTAGGGCTGGGTCACTCTTAATACTCACTTAATCTTCCTGGGGGGGACATCAGTTATAAATCCAAAACATTCTGCTGCTATTTTAAAAACTTACTTTATACTGAACTCTGTTTTAAGGTCTTTATAAATATTAATTCATTCAATTCTAATAATATTTCTAAGAAGCAGTTTCCCCATTTTAGCAATAAAGAGAAAGATGTATAGGAAATTTATGAAATTTATCCAAGTCATAGAGGCAGTAAGTAGCAGCTGCCACTAGTAAAGATGGGTCACTCCTAATACTCACTTAATCTTCCTGGGGGGGGACATCAGTTATAAATCCAAAACATTCTGCTGATTTGTCTTGGTGATTTGTTTTTGGCCTTGAGTCAAGTCCCTTTTCCTTTCTAAAGATGATTCTGAATTTCAGTTTTAATGAAGAGTTGATAGCAAATGTTAGCCTTCACCAAGTAAGAGTAAAGTTGATGAACTGCTGCCAGTCACATTGTCAAAACAGACATAAGAAAGAGATGTCACAATCAAAAGAAAGAATGCTGTCTAATTAAAATATAAAAATTAAGGCCTATAGTTATATGAACAAGAACAATGTTGCTATTACATAGGAACTCTAGTGGCAAAACTAGAGTGGTAAAAATGACAGAGGTCTCAAAATAATAAGCTCTTTATGTAAATATTAAAACTTACAAAAAATAGACAACTTATCTGAACACACCTTCTATATAATTACTGGAAAAGCACTTTGGGCTACTGTGAAAAACCAAATCTATTAACAGGCCCCTAAAAAAAAACCCACAAACCAAAATGCATTTTAGAGATTAAAATGATATGAAACAAATTGAATTTACAG